AGGCATCGACGCGCAAGATCCCGCGCGAAGACATCTCGTTCTTGGATGCAGCTGCTATTCCTGCCGTATGGGCTACCGTTGTGTATGCGTTCGATCATGTAGGCCGGCTGCGCAAAGGCGAGAGTGTATTGATCCATGCCGGAGCTGGTGCGGTGGGACAGGCGGCTGTACAGCTCGCGCAGCTGCGTGGGGCGGAGGTATTCGTTACGGTAGGGAGCGACTGGAAGCGCCAGCTGGTGAGAGAGCTTTACGGCCTCGCGGACGACCACATCTTCCACAGCAGAGAGGCCAGCTTCGTCGACGATGTGTTCCATGCCACGGCCAACCGCGGTGTTGACGTCGTCCTGAACTCTCTCGGCGGCGAACTTCTACAACACTCATGGCGCTGCACAGCGCCCTTTGGTCGCTTCATCGACATTGGCAAAGCCGATATCCTCGCCAACAACACGCTTGAGATGGGCCACTTCCTGCGCAATGTCACGTTCGCGGCCGTGGACGTCGCGGGTATGTACGCCGAGAACAAGCCCCTGATGCAACTCGTGCTCGACGACGTCTTTAGTCTGTTCGCGGCGAATCCTGGGCTCCACAATCCCAAGCCGCTGCATGCATTTGCGCCGAGTAAGATTGAGGAAGCGATGCGCGCGCTGCAGGGCGGTAAAATTGCAGGGAAGGCCGTCATCGATTTCGAAAAGTCGGGAGATGTGGTCGTGTATCAGCCCGCGCAGAAGCCGGCGTACGCATTTGAGGAGCAGGCTACATATGTCATTAGCGGTGGTTTGGGCGGTTTGGGGCGCGAGATCATGCGCTGGATGGCGTCCCGCGGCGCACGGCATTTCCTCGTCACCTCGTCGCGAGGCGTAGCTGGGCGCGCCGATGTGATCGCCTTCATCAAGGAGATGGAAGCCCAAGGCGTCGTAGTCCATGCGCCGGCGTCGGATATCTCGAACCGCGCGGTCCTCAAGAGCATCCTCGAGGAGGCTAGCAAAACGCTGCCGCCGATCAAGGGCTGCATCCAGGCGGCGATGGTGTTGTCGGACAACATGCTCTCCAACATGACCGTCTCGCAGTTCCACCGCGCATTGGCGCCCAAGTATCAAGGCTCGTGGAACCTTCACGAACTCCTGCCCAAGGATATGGACTTTATGGTCTTCCTCTCCTCCATGAGCGGCATCATCGGCAACCCCGCGCAAGCCAACTATGCAGCCGGTAACACTTTCGAAGATGCGCTCGCGCGGCACCGTGCCGCCAGTGGGCTGAAGGGCGTTTCGTTCGATCTCGGTTTGGTGCTAGAGGCTGGATGGGCGAGTGACAACTTTGAGGACGTGACGAAGAGTCTGCGCGCAGGGCTGGGTGGGCTGACGCAGAAGCAGCTAATGGCGATTCTGGATGTCTTGTGTGATCCCGGATACGATTGTGCCGGCGGCGCGGCGCAGGTGGTGAACATCCACGATAAGCCTTCGAAGCTGTATCGGATGTTCCAGGACGGCGTTTTGCACTGGGTGGGTAAGCCGCTGTTCAAGAATCTCCTTCGTCTGGGTCAGGTCGAGTTGGTCAACGGCACCGGGGCTGGCGGCGAAGGCGAGGCGGCAACCGTCGACTATCTCGCTCTCATCAAGGCGGCCGCTGGTACGAAGGAGGCTGCGCAGATTGTAACGTCGGCGTTACTTGGGAAGCTGAGCAAATCGCTGTCCATACCAGCGGAGAATCTTGACGTAGGCAAGCCAGCCTATGTGCTTGGTGTTGACTCGCTCATTGCGGTTGAGTTGCGGTACTGGTTCCTCAAGCAATTCGGCGTTGAGGTTCCTGTGTTCGTCATTTTGAAGAAACAGCCGGCCGTTGAGTTGTGCCAGCATGTAGCGGATCAGGTCATTGCAGCTAAATGAGGTTTGGAAGTCGCGACGCGACGCGACGAGGTTGGTTGGCGTCGCTAGCTGCGCGGGGCAGCCGCTCACGACCCCAACGCAGCGAGGCCCACCACCTTCGATAGAACATCACCATATTTGTGAAGACAACACAAGTTCATTTTGGAATAAAACAAACTGCACATGATTCCAAGGAAGCCATCACACTGATTCGTTAGCGGAGCTTTCAGTTCCAAGCGAAGCCGATCCGATCGACCAGTAAGGTTACGTACTGATTCATAGCGGGCATCCATGGCAAACCTCGCGCCGACGACAGCAAGGTCTCCGGGCCCTCCACGACGCGCAACGCAAGAAGATACATTGCTATTATCGACGCTTTCTGCGACCTTCCTAATCGGGTAATTTATTTGAGGTTTGTAGGCTGTTGTAGGTTTGTTAATTCTACACCTGAGAAATCTTGAACCCGCCCGGCAATTGACTCTGGTAGACGCCTGTCGGGTCGTACTTCTTCGCGACCTTCTTCATGAACGCCACCTTGTCAGCACCGTAAGCCGAAAGCGGATCCTGGTCCTTATCGGCATAGTTGAGGTACAGGTATTCCACCGCTGTGCCTTTCTCCGTGGCAAACTTCTGAATGCCGTCGGTCAGCGTCTTGCCCTGAGTAATGAACAGGTCATCATCCTTCGCCTCAGACCAAAGCAGGTATGACTGGTACATGATGAAGTTCTCGCTGTAGCGTTCCAACCCAAGCACGTTGCCGCCTCTGGCTGTACTGTTCGCCGTGTAGCTTGTGGCAAAGACCTGGTGCAAGCACGAGATGCGCCATTGTCCAGAGGCCTTGGCTCGAAGCTCCGTCAGCATGATGTCGTATAGACGCGCTGTCTCCTGAAGAGTCTCATAATCAATCTTGTATGAGAGGGTACGGAATTGAACTCTAGTTGCTTGTATTAGCGACAATCTCACATTGAAGTCAGTGGGAAAACGTACCGTTTAGTCGTGTCACTACCAAACTCGGCAGCAATCGCGCTCATTGGCTGGATCTTGGTAGAATCGCTGAGGGTGTTGTTGACGGCGAGAAACTCGCTGTAGGCATCCGGGCGAGCCACGGGTTTGGTGTAATCGAACGCAGCTCTTACGACATTTACGGGACTCGCTGTTGAGTATCCTTGGAAGAGAATCAGAGCAGCGTTTGAATCTCTGTTCGGGTCGAGACCAAAGTCGACGAGCGACTTGAAATGCTGGTTGACGGTGGATGCAGGCCACGAGACAATACCTCCCCAGAGGTCTTCGTTCTCAAATGTCTCCATGTCATAACGTGTTACGATGCCAAAGTTGCTATTACCCCCTTTGAGAGCGGTGAAGAGATCAGCATTAGACGTCTTGTTGGCATTTACGATGCGACCATCGGCAAGGACGACCTGAAAATTGATCACGTTGTCACAAGACAATCCAACGCGAGGTGCGTAGTGAGATATCCCACCACCTAGTAGGTAGCCACCAACGCCGACGGTACTGCCTCGGCCTCCGGCTACCATACGTCCTAGTGGCTCAAGAGCTGCGTAGACAGAGCCCCATCTCGCCGCTGGTAAGATGCTTGCTACCTTGGAATCAGCATTGTAGGTGGTTCCATTCATGTTCAGCAGATCGATTGTGACGCCATCGTCGACGTTGTTGGCGCCAGGAATCGGGGTATGGCCACCAGATCGTACGGCAAATTTGCAAGTTTTCTGCGTGCTGGCAGTCGTAAGAGCCTTGACAATTGTAGCCACGTCCTCGGCGTTTGTGGGCTGCACGATACAGTTGGGCGACAGTCTGCTCTTTCCATCGAAGTAAGAGGCAATGCTAGCGTCGTACGCATTCTGACCAGGGTAGGTTACGCGCTTGGCTACAGGACTCTGAGTCAGAGCTGTGCACTGGAGAAAGTCAGCACAGCATCATAAGGTAACATAAAGCTTACACAGTGGGATTCGTTTTGAGCGCGCGTTGCGCTGAGCAGGGTCGCGGCGACCAAGGCCAGGCTCAGACAGAACATGATGCAAGAACAGTCGGTGAATGAACCTTAACGAGGAGGACGAAACAACTCAAAAATTTGTGAGTATTCGGGTCATCAGCCTTTTGATACTGATCTCATAGGTGGACTAGATACCCGCCGAAGATGTGAAAGCTCATTGACCGAGTCTGCAAGGTCGCGGATGGCTGCAGCCGAAAATGATCTCTACGCTTTTGGACCATTGCGGCAGATGCCTCCGTGCCGACAGCATTGACTCGACTACATCAAATCTGGAGTCTGCCGTGGGTTTTATGGAGAGTCTGGGCATAGTGATCATGGAGGGAATGGGGAAGGAGGAGCACCCATCGGAGAGACTTACCTAGGTACTGACCAAGCCGGTGCTAGTCCTAATTGGGTAACGCGCGGCCATTTCTAGGTGTCCGCGGAAGCACGGCTGCGGGCGGCATCCCCATGGAAGAATAGCACCGTCGCGGCTCTGCCGTCTATCAAGCGACACAACTCTCGATCCAATGAGATCGAGTACCGACACGGCTGAGTCGATGACTGACCCGCAACTCGTTCGCCTGCATCCTTCGCGCATGTTCCCCTTTCCTGGCCTGGTCTCGCAGGATTTCCCTAGCAGCGTGGCAGCAATGCCACAGAAGTTCGGCTGTGCGACACATCGGGACCTCTAATTCAAGCCACCGTATATCGCCTTGTAGTAACTGAAAGGCAATTCGATACGAGTAAAGTCTACCTAGGTAGGTACTCGATGGAGATGACCTTGAGACAGGCGCACCAAGATGTGATGGACGATACTGGGAGTCAACGCGTTGCCTGCAAGCTGAGTCGGAAGGATTGCGCTATCGATAAAGTTAGATCGAGATTCATCATTGCCATTACAGGGGACAGTATGGACGGGACGCATTGCATTATGCTTTCAGCCTCGCTCACGATAGCGGCACATGAAATGTCCGGATCAATCAACCTGCTTCGCTTAGGTGGATTACCATTTGGCTGGATCTGCCAAATAAGCTTGTTTCGAATCCTGCGAGACAGTGAGACTCAAATCGAAGTAATGTCCCCGTCTTGCTGTTTAATGCACCCCAACTGAGGGCTGCCTCCACAGCAAGCAATCTCGCAGGAAGATGGCGGATCTCACCCAGCCAATTGTACCCGCACCAGACGACTATGTGGTAGATCTCGAGAACCCACAAAGACGAGGTGAACTCATTATCCTCTGGATTGGAATCGTGGGAACGGTTATTTCCACGTTTCTGTTGGCTGTTCGAGCGTACACCAAAGTTGTATTAGTTAAGAAACTGTCGTCTGACGACTGTAAGTCTTCCCCATTCACGCAGTGCATCCTTACTAACAGCTGCGCCAGATTGCCTGCTCCTTGCCTGGGTAGGTGGTCACGATTCTTCTGTCAATGAAAGCTCATGGCTGACATGAGCTGGTCGTCGATTGGCAGGTCCTTGCCATACCTGTACAGTCACTCATCATTTGTAAGTTCTGCCCGTTGCTTCTTCGTTCTATAGAACGAGATTAACAACAGCATCGCAGATAGGGCACCCGCAGGTTTAATCGGTGTACATGCCTGGGAACTTACCGGTCATCAACTGAACACTATCGCAAAATTCGGTCTCCCGTCGGCAAGCTCGGCAGCATCGTTCGCTGACTTCCAGGACTCTAGATAACGCTGACGACCACTGTGCTGTACTCGCCAGCTCTCGCCTTCGCAAAGTTGTCCTTCCTCTGTCTCTATCTCAACTTGAGCCCCGCACGCAGCTTCCGCGCTGGAGTCTACTTCACCATATTCGTTGTCGTCGGGTCCTGTGTCGGCATCGTCATCTCTTTACTCGCAGCATGCGAACCGTTTGCAAAGAACATCGACGTGACCGTCACAGAAGGGCAATGCTTGAACAAAGCGGCGTTGTACATCGCTACTGGGGTACTGAACATCATCACAGATATCATGGTCATCATCCTACCTATACCCATGGTTTTGCGATTGCACATGTCGAAGGAGCGGAAGATCATGGTGATGGGTATTTTCGGTGTTGGCTCGATGTAAGCTTCCAGCTCCAGGTACGCGAGTATGACTGACTCATATGCTAGTACATGCGTGACGAGTGCGGTGCGTGTCGCATTACTTCCTCCAATGTTGACTTCCAAAGACGCCTCTTGGGACACTGTTTACCCTAGTCTGTGGATGTAAGTGCGCAGCTTTCGCCGAGCATCAGCTCTTTGCATCCCTCGCTGACAAGCTCCGCTAGCCTCATCGAAGCTAGTCTTATCATCATCACCGGTTCCCTCCCAACCTTGCGGCTCTTCCTCAGGCACGTCGCCCCATCTTTTATCGAGAGTTTTGAAGCAACTCGACCATCGGCAACGCGTCAAGACTTCGAATTCGAACTACAAGAACACGGAATGCTTGATCCCTATGAGGTTGAAGATGGTGCGTCTGAGAGGGAGATACTGGGAAAGCAATATGACGGGAGTGACAGCTTACCGCCGTCTCGGAGCTCGGAGCTAAGACGCTTTCATCAACAACAACTACTTGGCTCGGAAAATAAGCTTTGATAAGGGTCTGGACGCATTTTGCTTAGATGCGAAGACTATGACATCGCTTTCACGGAGTAGATTCTGTGTCACCATCTTTCACTCCACATGGTTTATGCCAAGCCATGCTTTTCAGTCTGTGCTCTTGGGCATTGCTTCAGCTGCCTTCTTGATATAAGATTGCGAGACTAGTTTCTGAGATGCATTATGTCGGGTCTTTCCAGCCTGGTAGCACAGCCACTCTGATCAAGGCGCTGGCGCACTAGTGCTATTGACAACCAAACTAGGCCACACTCCAAGCTAGCCGGCCGGGTACCTTGCATCCGCCCGCGCTATATTGTTGCGCCTCCCCTGTCAAATGACAGTTGACTATGAATGTCGATATTTCTTGTTAGATGGAAAGTCACTCAGGCGGTCATCAGCAAAGCGGGTCTGCAGAAGGGTGAAGTGAAAAGAATGTTTTGTTATCATCAATCAAATATCTGATGCGCTTGCAGATTTACAAAAAAAAAAAGAACCCCTAAAAGGGAGGCACCAAGGCCGTTAAATGAATGTTGCAGAAGTCATCCGCATCACACCCACATCTACCCATACAAAACCACCGGAGTAGCTTCTGCCGCCTTTGCGACCGTAGCCAGGGTAGACAGGGGAATCCACCTAGCAGCCACGGAGGCCTTGCTCTGCACCGGCGCCGCACCACCATCGTTGTTGTTCTGGCAAGTACCGCCGGAGCACTTGTGATAGATGCTCATCGCATTCGCACCACCACAGATCTGCTTGGCATTACCGACACAAGACTTGGTGCATGAGCCCATGATACCGGCCTTGGGCGCGTACTTGGGGTTGAGGCTGTTGTTGCAGAAGCATTCGTTGCCGTTCTCGGGTGCTGCGTAGGTGAAGCCGCGTGCATTGCAGTAGTCGACGCAGATCTCAATGGACATGTAGTCGTTGAAGGTCCATGAACCGTTCATCGCGCGGTCGCTCACATTGTCGGAGCCACAACCAACGTACTCCCAGCCCTGGATGGCGGTCAAGTCGTCGTGATCGGTGGAGCCGCCGTCTGTTGATGGTGTGGTGCTGTCTGGGCAACTTCCTGGTGTAGCGCGTTGCGGGCCATAGGTGACGGGGTTGCAGCCGGGGAGTGCAGCAAGCTTTCCACTAGTCTTCTCGTTGACCGATACTGGGATCTTGCAGTCGTTGCACTCTCGGTCGGTGAACATGGTCACGGCTGGGCAGTCTTCCACTGCACCTCCGGCGTCGTTGCAGTTGTCGACAGCATTCTGAAGCACCTTGACATCCCATCCGTTCAAGAAGTCGCCGTGGAGACCAAAGCCAGTTGCATCTCCTTGAGCGAAGACAAAAGGGTGCTTGCCATCAACCCACTGGTCGGCGAACAGGGCAGTGTCGTAGAAGATCTCGAAGAAGATCGATATCATGTGGACAGGATGCGAGGCGGGGCAGTTGCCGCTGTTGTATACGTTGCCCTCTGGGTAGCTCATATGACTCTTATGATCGGAAGGATCAAGGGTTTTGCCGTCCCAGCACTGAGGAAAGTAGACTTGGGCTCGCAGTCCACCTGGGCATGGGTAGTCGGGGAAACCGTTAGTTTCCGGTTTGTTCGCACCAAGGCAGTTGAAGGAGATGCCCTGGGCGGCAAGACTGCCGTCGTAGCTGCGAGTGAATGGGTCCCCGGCGACCATGCGGAAGCCCTCCGGGAAAGCGTGGAGTTTCTCAGTCTCATTGGTACCTCGACGCTGAAGGTAGTAGACGGTCATGCCGCCGTTGGTGTCATCTGGGTCACCCATGACCGGGACAGGAGCAAAGCCGGATCCGTCCTTGTATTTGACGTAAAGCTGCGGCATCCAATAATTAGACATGTCCTCCTGCAAATCGTTAGTCATGTAGCACCAAAACGAGGTGACTGTCTTACCTTGATCGTGCATGACGAGCACTTGGAAGCTCGGGTGTCTGCGTAGGTCATGGAGGCTTTGAAGGCCGCTCCGCCTGAGATCGTGTGGACATGGCCAGAAACGGCTCCAGGGTTGACAATGGGATCAAGTCGCTCTCTGACAGTTCGTCCCGGGCAAGACATTCGGAAGAAAGCATCTGAGGAAGCAGCAAGCCCAAGAGCAAGAAGAAGAGTGCTGGTGCTGAACATGTTGGAGATCTGAATAGAGAGTAGAAGAGAGAGGTGAAGATGGTAGAAGTGGTGTGCTGGTGATGATATTGATGCGTTGGAGACACGAGCTTTATACCGAAATGAAGGTAGATACTGCTGGTGAATGCTAGTCCTAAACCCGTGTGACAGATGTCAAAATGGAAAGCGTGGCACACTAGAAAGGTGATGATGTCGGATGTCTTTGTTAATCAGTAGCCCCGAATCCTTAGGTCAAATATATCAGTCTAGGCGCAGAGGTAGTATGTATCGGGCAGAAGATGTGAATTCTAGCCGGTGGGCGTTTGTCGTGGCTGTTTTCTCGATCTCAATCATCGCGCGAAGTCGGTTTCTGACAGCCGCCAAACGGCGTGTCGCAGTCCCACATTCATTACGCGTGACCTCACTTTCGAGTTAGGAAATTAGATGAAAGAGCAAATCGTGGCTTCCAGGATGGCTGTGAGACTTAGCGTCCAGACGCACGCTTCTGGACGTGTATCACCTTGCCAATTTGAAAGAGGCCATATCCACACGCCATTGTTTTCGCCGTCGGTCACCGAGATGCGTCCATCTCCGAAAAGCGACACTGGATAGCGCGAATTGCTGCATGCGATAGCGGTACATACGAATGGGTGTGCGGTCCAATCCCGCGCACGCAAAAGGCGCATGACACCTCGACTGAAATCTGAATGGCGAGTCCTATTCGTCCGCAGCCAAGAGATGACCAGTCTTGTGGTGGATCTTGAGAAATCCTGGCTCTATCGACTATCAAGCTTTTGTCCCTGGAGTGAAACCTTGTCTGAGATGCAATTCTTTAGCATGAACGGGGAATCCGGAAGTAAGGCCTGTCACAATATCGCCTTTTCGACCTCTTGCCCGGCTACAAAACCGTGAACGAGATCTAAGGGGAAAGGGAGCTATACTATCGAGTAGCGCTCATCGAAGGCCCTCTTTCAAAACTTATCCTAGATTCTTTGTTGCTGGTTCAGAAGAGACTACCCAAGATCAGCTTCTCGTGGTACTGCGATGAGCCACCCACCTCATGACATGTGGGCGGCAAGCCACTCGCAAATTCCGCATTACCAACAACAAACACAATGCCGACAATCCCCTTCATGCGATTGATATCAGGGACCATGCGGATGCTTACCATTAGCTCATTTCCAACTCCCGCGTTCATGCTAGAGGCAGTTGCCGGGCGGCCGCATCCCCGGAGTCGAGATGTTCGATAGCGTTGGTGCTAGCCGCAAACGGCTAGACCATGTCAAACGATTGCGATTGCGGACCCGGCAGATGGCCCGGGAACGTCTCGGAGCCCTCCCCACGCTCCCCTGCAGGACAAAATCCCATGAACTCCTTCATGAACATATACACTACCCTTCACTCACATCTGCCGAATGTGTTCCTGCGTCCTGAAGTCTCGTCGCCGACTCGTACCTTCCATCCACGGGACATGCCGACCAGCGCAATTTTACCTTTCACACAAGCCCCTCAATCTCTTCTGACCTTTGCGCCTAGGCCCTGATGTACTTTCATGCCACTCGGCCTCCATCACCACATTTGGCCTAAACATGTCAGTGACACAGCATCAGTATCAGCAGCCACCGACCGAATTATCGCGCTGATAGTGCTCTGTACCACAGTGCAAGTGGGGTTGATTAAGAGGCGAGACAAAGACAAGTACCCACCAGGTGGCGCATCACTTGATATCTACGAGAACTTCAAGGTGCATAGCGCATTCTGACCCCAGGTTTTTGCGCAGCCTCCAACAGACTGGGGTTTCTCTTTCCCATGACATGTTCCCCGGTCTTCTAACGCGACGTGGTTGCTGGACCGAGCCGGATCCGCGAGTACCATGGTACGATCCTGCCTGGGAACAGGTCACAACGCTGTTCGAAGGACCAGGTTGATGGGCCTGCAGGAACCGTCAGTCCAGTATCAGGGCTTTCGTCGCATACATCGTTCCCGACGATGATGTTCAGCAGGTGATAAAGATATGGGGTGCTACCGCCCTTTCTCGTGAAGTCGAGCGGCACTATCACTGTGCATGCGTCAAGAGCGGATGACAATTTAGACATTGCTATGGCCTCCTGTAGTGCATGCGCCGCACGCGGGAGGTCATATTTCCGGAACTTACGAGAACAGCTTGTATGAGTCGTCCGTCTCGCTCGGAGCGTCTTTCGTGAATCATGTCGTCGGGCGCCTAACAGACACAGTCAGCAACCGCACCTCGATTTAGGCCTCGGATTTTGACATGTGCTTTGCAGGCAAGCGCGGCCCGCATCTTTGCGCCGTTGACGGCGAAGCTCATCGTTAGCCTGCCTTCCGTTGTCCAGACTCCACCATATGAACCGCTC